ATGATAAGAGTTCAAAGTGGAGCTTACAGAGAGTAAGGAGGTTTCTCTCATACTCATCTGTATGAGGAAATTGGACTGCATGAATGGCTTCTAAACCGTGATTTTAGAGAATACAGAGGATTCTGGGAGGATTGGGAAGAGACAGAGTTGTATTCAAGGGTCTAGTTATTGGACCTCTTTGCTCAGCTTTTTGCATTATAATTTAATTTATAGAAGAAAATTTTCCTCTAAAATTAGTTTGAATACCTGCATCTAAAGATTAACAAGAATAAAATGTTTGAAAAGCCACCAGACTGAGTGATTACTTTAGTGCCTTTTAAGTATAGAATTTAAGAAGTATACCTTAACAATGAAGATAATTTTAATGATGCCTTGTTTTAGATTCTTAGTTCCATTCAGAATAGAATGAAATACTAATGTTTTTGAGTATTAGAGGTAAATGGTTAGATCAGTGGCACTTTTTTTTTAAATATGGCAAGTAAGAAAAATTGTTTAATTTACTCTTATTGGAGAGAGTGCACATAGACTTGATGCTATACATAAAGCAATGTTTATCTGCCCTGGATGTTAGAATAGATAGGATTTGGGGAAGAAGTAGTTAGGTTTGGGTTGTGGGGGGCTCTTGAGGCAAGGGAATGTGGGCAGAGGCATGACAAGGAACAGTGAGTAACTAGATCTGAATGATGGTGCCAGGACTTCACTTTAGGAGAGAATAGGAAGGTCTGTGGGGCCAGATTCTGGGGGCTCTGGGAAATAGGCAAAGTCATTTGGACTTTTGTCTGTAGGTCATAGGTTATTAATTTATGTGGAATTTTATAGACTCCTTCATCACTTTAGGGGCCCCAATAGGTTTGATTCTTGATAATGCCAAATTCTGGTGTTTTAATGAGAATAACTATTTGTTATTTAAGAATTTTTTCGGTGCTTTGTATGTGTCTTTTTACTTTTTGAACTGCTAGACTTCCTAAGTTGAGTTCCCTAAAGCAGGATATGAGACAGGGATTTGGTGTGGGTGGTTTATTGGTTCTCTGAATGAAAACTTACAAGAGAGTAGAGGAAGTGGGATAGAGAAGGAGACACAACCATGTGGCAGGCAGTATCTCTGGGCACTTTTCTAGTTATCATGGTGTGGAGCCATTAGGGTTTGAGCCATGAGGTCTGGCCTTGTGAATCAGCTAGTTGTGGGCTGCAGAGAGTGGGGTGCTGAGGGTGGGAGCTCTCTGGGGAAGGCAGATTTATTTGTTCTTCATAGATCAAAGGGCTGTGAGTCTTTAGCAGCAAATGGAGAGTGGGTGCCCCTGCCCTGTTAAGATTTAACTAGGCATCCTGTAACAAATATAAAATATATGTCTACTGTAATTTAATGTTTTTAAGAAAGCTCTATAGTTACCTCAGAGATCTCAGAGTAGATTTGTGACATTAAACTGTATAGGAAGTACAACAAAATTACTATACAAGTGTAATCTCTAATCTCTGTTCTAGTCTCTGTGTTCACATATATATAGTCATTTATAAACTTAATTTCTGGAATAGTAACAGCTGATTTCATTAAGTGCTTAACTGTGTGCCAGGAACTATGGTATGTTTTGTAAGTATTTCCTCTAATCTTCCTAGCAACCTAATTAAATATTATTTTATATTTGTAAATTGAAAAATAGGCTTAAAAGAGGTCTGCGTCTTGTATAAGGTGTACACTACTAGTGAAATGTAGAGCTGGGATTGGACCCAGTGCAGTCAGATGATGGAGCAAACAGTTTTAACCACTGCGTGAACAGCTTTCCTTTATCAGTGATCAGCCTGTACTTAGTTCATATGTTGACACTGGGAAAGTTTTGGGAGAGACTGTGTTATGGTCCATTATTTCACTTCCAAGAAACCCAGTCGACAGCGACCTTTCTGATTGACCTGTGCAAATTTCACCTTGCTTGGCTTATCAGTGTTGCTGGGAGGGCTTCATTTGTTTCTGTCTGCATAGATTTTACATTTCTTGGTTTTTGTGTATTTCAGAACTTTCCTAAGGACCCACATATGATATCTCACCCACTAGCTACAACTCTTAGAAGGCACAGAATTTTATTTTCTTTGGAATCCCCCTCTATTAGTCCTAGCACAACACAGGTGTTGTGAACATAAATGTGCGTTGAATCAGAGAGCAAACCATAGGTTTCCTCAAAATTAACTTAAGCTGAATATACAAACATGTACCAGTTATTTCTTTAAGTTCTAGGATACTATATTATCAGTAGGTAACAACCTTTCTTGCTGAATTGTTTTAAGTGGTTTATTCCATAGTAGTGGACCCACTACAGTGTATAATTGAAACTTAACAATCACTAGGTGCTTGAAAACGGTTTTTCTGGCATTGAGCTAGTCACCAAACTGACTTAAAAACAAACCAATAGGAGTTCCAGTTAGGAACCTGTTGGAGCCTTTTGTGCAAACTCTAGTGTCTTCTAATTATAGAGTAATAAGCTTGGAAAATTGAAAGAAATCACAATTTTAATTTTTGTCTCTTTTATACACATACAGGTTTTGTAGGTTTGTTTACTCTGCTGCTCCTATGGCCAGGTTTTTTTTTACTTCATTATACTGGATTTGAGGACTTTGAGTTTCCCAATAAAGTAGTATTAATGTGCATTATCATTAATGGCCTTATTGGAACAGTTCTCTCAGAGTTCCTGTGGTTGTGGTATGTACTTTTTATTCTCTTATTATCTGTTGGTTTACAGACTTTTTAATAGGTGACAAATTGAGTCAGCCATCAGCTCAACAGGGAAAAGCTGGATTAACTCAAACAGACTTTCTAATTCTACCTCTCAGATTTTTTTTTTTTAATACAGAGCCTCAAGCTAACCCCCTGGGTAGAGTGCTGTGGCATCACAGCTCACAGCAACCTCCAACTCCTGGGCTCAAGGGAGTCTCCTGCCTCAGCCTCCCAGGTAGCTGGGACCACAGGCACCCGCCACAATGCCTGGCTATTTTTTGATTGCAGCCATCTTTGTTGTTTTGGCGGGCTGGGATGGATTTGAACCCGCCACCTTAGGTGTATGTGGCTAGCGCCTTAGCCACTTGAGCCACAGGTGCCAAGCCTCAGATTTTTATTATACTACTTTGGATAGTGAATATCCAAAAACATATGCTGTTTTGACCCTTCCTCTTTTCACAGAGCAGCTATGATAGTGGGAACCATTAGTATTTGAGTTCCCATTACCTCATCAATAAAGAGTAATTGTCTAGGCTCCAGTGATTACTTTTGGTGACGCTTTGTCAAGAGATAGCCTGTTTTATTACAAGACTGTGCTAAATTCCAGCAGATATACTGAGCTAGAATTTATTTGCCTATTACCCGCCTCTAGAATCTTAACATATATATTATGGTTTTATCTTTGCTTATAATTCATTTTCTTTATATATACACAAATTATTAGTCTTATAAATGACTTGTCTTTCTCTGTTAAGTATAATATTTTCCTTCAGCTAAATGAGATGATATACAAATTGATATTTCAAAATTATATATCAACATTGATAGCTCAGGGTGAAAATAAAAAGAGCTTAGCTTTTGGGTAGAAAAGTGGAAAACAACAGAGAAATATTCTTTTAAAATATTCAGTTCCTTCTTTTGTATACTAAGCCAAATCAAAAGAATGATACACGATTTTAGGTTTTCTGAGGGTAAGATATTTTTGCTTTGGAGACAGAGTTGCATGTTGGCTTGTCACTTTCTAAAAGTCTGTAAATAAGGTGTTGTCCCATTTTAATAATGCTATTTTCCTTATTAGCTAAGTATCATTATAAAACTGCAAGAACTCTGTGAAACAGGTTTTTAAAAAAATTAATGAAAATAAGGTATGCATCCAAAATTGAATAATATATGTAAGCAAATCTTGAAAACAGCATAAAGTATTTTGAACTTTTTATACGTATATATTTGTATTTTAATATTTGAAGATAAACTTTAAGAATCATCTTAATAAGTTTATTTCTGTTTCAATCCATCCTGAGTTCTTATTTGTGCTCCTGATCTCTCAAGCTTATATCATAGTTTAAAAAGTCTTTTGGCTCTTTTTTCTAAATATAAAAGTGCTTATTTTTTATTTTTTAGGGGCTGCTTTCTTACCTCATCATTGATAGGCACACTTGCACTAAGCCTTACGATACCTCTCTCCATAATAGCTGACATGTGCATGCAAAAGGTAAGGCAAAGTGTTTATTAGATAGTTTAGACATACTGTGAAAACAGACCAAATAAAAATTAAGGAATACCATGAATAATACTTGATGTCTTCTCTCTGAATCTTCTTTACTACCTAGAAATACAAAAATACCAAAGAGATGGATAATCTTCATTTTTAGCTTTTCATTTTTTTTCCTAAATTTTCAAGTTAAGGGCATTGTCTTTCTTTCTATGTTTTTCTCCAGTTTTTCAGCTGATTATGTTCCGGATGTTCTTCCGTAAGTCAAGTGATAGAGAATAAGAGGTACCTGTTATCATAAAGAAATAGTGTTTTGGCTTCCAAGATAAACTCTTATCAGCGATTCCTTAACACCATGCTGCTGCTACTAGCGATATGCACAACACGTGAATACTACTGCTTCTCAGCCAGTCATTTATTTCTGTCTTTACTCAGCAGAGCAGGTGACCCTTTTCTCTTCCATTAAGTCCACCTGATCTGGATGCAGAGCTTGTTGTGATGAATGCTGGCAATGAGAACATCACAAAATCTGCAGTGCTTCTAGGGGTAGCATAGGTTTGACGTAGGGAATGCTAAAAGCTGGAGTATAGCCATTTATCATACCGTCCAGTATTTATAAGCTTTTAACTACAAGTACTAAGTAACTAAAGTGTGTGTGTGTGTTTTAGTTTAATATAATTTGAAGAGGAAAATTTTCAAAAGCCCAAAAGTCTTACAATGTGTACAAATAATGAAAAATTTAAAGCTGTTTTTCTTTAGGTCTTTACAGTTTTAAAACGATGGAGAAACACTTATCAGTTTTACGTATCCTCTTTATTTATAAAATAATT